AGGGGAGGGGAGGGGAAGGGAAGGGGGAAGGGGGAGGGGGAGGCAAGGGGAGGAAAGGGAGGGGAGGGAAGGGAAGGGGAGGGAGGGAAGGGAGGGAAGGGAGGAGAGGAGAGGGAGAGAAGAGAAGGAGAGAAGAAGAGAAAAGAGAAGGGGAGGGAAGGGAAGGAAGGAAGGAAGGAGGAATGGACGGGAAGGGAAAGGAAGGGAAGGAAGAGAAGAGAGTATGAAAAAAGAAAGAAAAATTAAAGACAGGAGGCATAAAGCGAGAAAAAGTATGAGCAAAAGTAGAAAATGCAATACAATACAAAGAGAGACAGTGCAAGAGAATGAGAGAGATAGGGAAGGGACCTTGGACCGGCAACCCAAGCTCCGCGTGTGAACCGAGCGAGCGCAGAATGGGCGAGGGAGAGGCTTCGGACCTGTCGGGCGGGTGGGCGGGTGGGCGGGTAGGTGAGCGAGCGAGCGAGCGGCCCTGCGCGAACGGGTTTCAGTCACGTTTCGGCGCTGGTCCTGCGTGACGTCATGACCCCGACGACCGCGTGGCATATGGATGGAGGCCGAAGGAGACCCGTGCGAGTTGGAAAGCGAACGTACACGCAAAAACACGGACACGTAAACACACACACACACACACACACACACACACACACACACACACACACACACACACACACACACACACACACACACACACACACCACACACACACACACACACACACACCTCTATACCTCTATCCTCTTGCCCACGTCAAATAAGTATAAAACTAACACTCTTCTACCGAACGTCCCAACTGTGAGTGACAACACGACAACTCACCGTACCCAGCGTACCCTCTTTGCCTAAACGGCGGGAGTCGGGAGGGGGAATGGAGGAATAGGAGGGGAGGGGGGAGGAAGAAGAAAGGTGGAGGAAAAGGATGGGAGCATAGAGGAGGGGTGTACGTGGGAGGTAGGGAGCACAGAGGAGGGGTGGAGAGGAGAGGAGAAGAGTGGGAAGGGGGCGGAAGAGGAATAGAAGGTGAAGGAAAAGGATGGGGAGCATAGAGGAACGTGGGAGTAGGGAGCACAGAGGAGGAGTGGAGAGGAGAGGAAGGGGGCAGAGGAGAGAGGAAGAAGCATAGAGGAATATGGGTAGGGGGCATAGAGGAAGAGTAGGGGCAAGGTACACGTGGAGGTAGGGCATAGAGGAGGTACGCGCGGGGCATGTGGTGGGAGGTAGCATAGAGGAGGGTGTACGGCATAGAGGAGGGGTGGAGGGGAGGGGAAGAGGGGGAGGGAAGGGGAGTGGAGGAAATGATGGGGAGAATAGGGGGAAGGGTGGGGGGAGGGGAGAGGAGTGGATATGGAGGGGAGGATGTGGAAGAAGGCATATGAATGGATATCTGTATGGGCGTGTGTGGAGAAAATGAATGACTGAGTGGGTGGACAAGTGGGTTGTAGATGAATAAATTAGTGAGTCGTGAGTGAATGTGTGTGGGTGAATGAGTGTTGTGTGTGTGTGTGTGTGTGTGTGGTGTGTGTGTGTGTGTGTGTGTGTGTGTGTGTGTGTGTGTGTGTGTGGAGAGAGAGAGAGAGAGAGTGATACATACATGCATTATATATTATATATATATATATATATATATATATATATATACATAAAAATAAACATATACATTATAAGAGAGAGAAAGAGAAGGGGAGCAGGGGGGGGGGGGGGGGGGGGGGTGTTAAGTGAATACTCGACAGACTATTTCATTTCTCGATAAACAGGTTATCGCTTACACAACCCCATTTTCATTCCTTTGTTCTCTTTGACTATAAAGATTTCCATCAGTCGTATTTCCTTCTTTTCTCTCATGCCAACATATGCTCCCTTCATTAATGTCGCTGATACCAAAGGCATGTGAAATTGAGCAAAAGAATAAAGAGTGAAAAATGAAACACTGAAAAAAGGATAAAAGAACCAAATGCAACTGAAAACAATGCCTTCCCAGAAAAAAACACGTCTGAGCGTCAGTGCATTCCCAGGGCGATTTCCGTTTCAGTTTTCCAGCATTTATTGTTCTAGTTACTTCAGTTGTTTATTTTCCTATTTACCACTAGTATCCGGTTTTCCTATTCTCCTACTTAGCCCTCCATTTGCTTTCTACCTCTGCCTCATAGCCTCCTTTCCCTACAACGATCAAACTACACAAACTACGAAGTTTAAACATCCCCTTCTCCTGCACCCTTATCATTTGCTTTGCTTGGATTACAACAAGGAGCCTCCAATGGATTCCTTTCCCCACCCCATTCTTCCACACGCCCCCTGCTTAACCCTTCCCCTCACACCCCACTCAACCCTCCCCCTTATCGCTTCCGAGGGAAAAAGCCGCCGAACCGGAGCGGGTCAAGAACCGCACCCAGCGGCACGCCACCCCGGCCGCTGCCTCCGCGCGTTTCGTCATCCCTTCGTCCCGTTGGCGCAATCCGTCAGCGAAGGAAGGAAGGTCGTCTGGGGCGATTGGGCGAATCCGCCGCTCGGGACGTGCGGTCGTGCGTTCGGCCCTCGTTTCGGTTCGCCCTGACTTTAAAATTTTAATGTGTGTTTGAGTGCGTGTATATATATATATATATAAATATATATATATATATATATATATATATATATATAATATATATATATATAATATATACATATATATACATATATATATATATATACATATATATATACATATACATATACATATATATAATATATATATATATATATATATATATATATATATATATATAATATATATAATACATATATATATATATACATATATATATATACATCAAACATATATACCAATATCTATACATATACATACATACATACATACATACATACACACCGCACACACACACACACACACCACACACACACACACACACACACACACACACACACACACACACACCACACACACAATGTATACATATATATATATAATATATATATATATATATATATATATATATATATATATATATATATATATATATATATATATATATACGATATATAATATATATATATATATATATTATATATATATATATACATACATACATACATACTACATATATACATACATATACAATACATATACATACATACATTACATATACAATATACATACATATACATAACATACATATTACATATATATACATACATATATATACATAATACATACATACATATATACAATATACATATTACATATACATACATGTGTGTGTGTGTGTGTGTGTGTGTGTGTGTGTGTGTGTTGTGTGTGTTGTGTGTGTGTGTGTGTGTGTGTGTTGTGTGTGTTGTGTGTCTATATATATATATATATAATATATATATATATATATATATATATATATATATATATATATATCACTGTTTTATCGCGTCTGTTATTCACTGTTTCATTAAGCGTTTACCTTTCATCTGTATGCTAAGTACGGCATATCAATTTCCAATATCGGCCTACGCTCTCCCACCTAATTAAAATTATCTCTGGATTACCGCTTACTTCCCAGTCATATATCAAGAATATCGTGTCTTTATTTTCCAATATCGGCCCACTAAACCCTGCATCTATTCCCAAATTTCCAACAAGACGACACACTCCCCCGACTTCGGCACTCTCTTCACCAGGCGCACACACCGCCCCCGTCGCCATCACGATCACTCTAACATACATACATATACACATGTACGTACATATAGACACATATAGACACACACACACACACACACACACACACACACACACACACACACACACACACACACACACACACCACACACACACACATTTTATAGACATGTATGTCGCCATCACGATCACTCTTAACTTACTATCACACTTACTATCAACCCTAAACCTGTTATCAATCCCGCCCGCCAATACGCATCGCTACGATCATGGCATTCATCCTCATCATCGCCGCCGCCGCCGCCCTTGCCATGATCATCAGTCTCCGCGGCGCCATTACTATCCTGCGAGAGATTATTGCCACACATCGTTATACTGTCACCGGGCTCTTCCCCTGGGCGGACTGGCCGTTCAGGGTCGCTCGGCTCCCCGTTTTGGCGAATGCCGTTTGCGAATACAAACGCGCGTGTTGATATGCAGCTGCTGTAACGAATAACCGACCTCTTCGTAACCGTCGTCGGTGAGTAATTCCTGTGCAATCACACATACCGAAATAATAAACAAAAGCAGATACAGAGAAACACTTGCATACACGCAAAAAAGGCAAGCATTCCCCGATAGGTGCGTTCCCCCTCCCCTTTCCCTGCTCCCCCTCCCTTTTTCTCTTTCTCCTTTCCCTTCTCTCTTCCCCTCCCTCCCTCCCTTTCCTCCCTTCCTCTTCCCCTTCCCTTCCCCCTCCTTCTTCCTTCCTTCTTCTTCCCTTCCTTCCTTCTTCCTTCTTCCTCTTCCTTCTTCCTTCCTCTCTTCTTCTTCTTCTTCCTTCTTCTTCTTCTTCTTCTTCTTCTTCTTCTTCTTTCTTCTTCTCTCTTCTTCTTCTTCTCTTCTTCTTCTTTCTTCTTCTTCTTCTTCTTCTTCTTCCTCCTCCCTCCTCCTCCATCTCTCTCTCCGCCCTTTTGCGCCCACAAACACAACTGAAGGCAAACACTGGCCTCTTCACATCATAAGTAATTCCACAGCACTCATCCCATTCCCACCCACAACCCTACCCACAAACACCATCGCCCAGGGCAAAGGCGGATACCCTCAAGTGAGAACACACGCAGACACACACGCCACACCATGCTACACTAACACAAACAACGGCACCTCACAACCCCACCCACCACCACAACATACCCACATTAAAACCCATCTCCAACCTCCCCGCAAAAATAAAAATAAATAAAAATAAAAAAACAAAAAAACAAAAAACAACAACAAAAAACAAATATAAAATGCTGCCATATAACAGTGCCCACGCAACTCCCAACAAGAAAAACAGAGACAGCACGCGTACCTGAGCCCCTCTGGCGTAGTCGAGCTCAATCTGGCACCGCTCCTTGATGAAGTGGCTGTACGTCTCCAGGAAGGTGATGCCCTTCTGGGTGTGGCCCGCGATGCAATCCCACTGGTCCTGGAACGGAAGAAGGCGACAATGAGGGCGGGGGTAAGCATGATATGGGTAATAATGATGATAACAGTAATAAAATATTAGTAGACAGAGCAACAATAGTACGAGTAGGCTAGTAGATTCCGTACTAGCAGTGGTGGTGATAAAATAATAATAAACCAAACCGTAAACTAAAAAAAAATAACAAATGATTGAAAAACATCAGCAACTGAAAAAAATGATAGCAAACAGAAAGACATTCTGAGAGCACCGACCTCAGCAGTTACTTTTAATCCGACTTCATCCCTAAACTTAAGCAATCCATCGAACTTGCTCCCCAAATCCGCGAACACGATAAGCAAGTTAAATATTCTCTGACATGGCAGTCACCTTCGCTGAGGATTGTGTACAGGATATTATTTCTCCCTCTCCCCCTCCCCCCCCCCCTCTCTCTCTCTCTCTCTTTCTCTCCTCTCTCTCTCTCTCTCTCTCTTCTCTCTTCTCTCTCTCTCTCTCTCTCTCTCTCTCTCTCTCTCTCTCTCTCTCTCTCTCTCTCTCTCACACACACACACACACACACACACACACACACACACACACACACACACACACGCACGCACGCACACGCACACGCACGCACGCACACACGCACGCACGCACGCACGCACGCACACGCACACACAGACAAAGACACACACACACAGACAAAGACACACACACACACACACACACACACACAATAATGATAATAATAATAATAATAATAATTATTATATTTTATTATTATTATTATTATTATTATTATTAAATTAATAATTAATAATAATAATAATAATAATAATAATAATAATAATAATAATAATAATAATAATAAAACAAAAAATAATAATAATAATAAAAAAAAACATCTGATACATGAGGGGGAATGATAAATCTCGTTTACTTACTGGCAGTAACTTTTTAAACTCAAAATTAATCGTTATTCCAAAAAAAAAATTACCTCGCCGAATAGAGTAAGTCCCATAAGAGTTCTGGCTTATTTATGCATTCATTCATCGAGGCGTTAGTTGGATAATTCGTTAAGGAAACTCAACAACTGTGATGAAAATTTGTGTGGGGTTTGACCATCACCCAGGTACCAGGTGATTAGGCTTTGTCAGTCACCCTTTCTTGCGGTGTGTGTGTGTGTGTGTGTGTGTGTGTGTGTGTGTGTGTGTGTGTGTGTGTGTGTGTTGTGTGTGTGTGTGTGTGTGTGTGTGTGTGTGTGTGTGTGTGTGTGTGTGTGTGTGTGTGTGTGTGTGTGTGTGTGTGTGTGTGTGTTGTGTGGTCTGTGTGTGTGTACGTGTACGTGTGTGTTGTACGTGTACGTGTGTGTACGTGTATGTGTTGTGTGTACGTGTATGTGTGTGTACGTGTATGTGTGTGTGTACGTGTATGTGTGTGTGTACGTGTATGTGTGTGTGTACGTGTATGTGTGTGTGTGCGTGTAGTGTGTGCGTGTATGTGGTGTGCGTGTATGTGTGTGTGTGTATGTGTGCGTGTATGTGGTGTGTGCGTTGTATGGTGTGTGTGCGTGTACGTGTATGTGTGTGTGTACGTGTATGTGTGTGTGTACGTATAAGTATGTGTACGTGTATATGTACGTGTATGTGTATGTGCACGTGTATATGTACGTGTATGCGTACATGAATGTGTGTGTATATGTAGGTGTGTAGGTGTGCGTGTGTATGTGTGTGTATGTGCGCGTGAGCAACCGGTCCTTCCCCGTACGCCCTTTCGGAGCAATGATCCCCATAAATGAAGCTCGGTTGAATAACAGGCTCCGACGGCCGGATATGGGAAGTGCAGGGCAGCAAGCGGTTGCACAGGCAGGCAGGCAGGCATGCAGGGGCATCATGACAGGGTAAACAGCATGGCAGGCAGGCAGGGGGAGGGAGGCAGGAGCCATGACTCACAACACAGTCATGCAGGCGACTGAGTCAGGACCGGACCTTCGCACGGAGGAGGAGGGAGGGAGGGAGGAGGGAGGGAGGGAGGGAGGGAGGGAGGGAGAGGGAGGGAGGGTGACGGGGAGTACAGGGGTTTAGGGGGAAGAGATAGGGGGAGGGGAGGCCCATCACAGCACATACGATCGATTTATTATGTCGATAACGTGTGTTCCTCTCGGTTTTTCTCTCTCTCCTCTTTTCTTAATATCTTACTTTATCTATCACTTTCTTTTCTCTCTTCATCTTACTCACTCCCTTCCCTTCTACCAAACACAGACAAACACACAAAAACACGTATAGAAAATAACGAACACACAAATTTCAACAGTACACTCCCCCCAAAAAATAATAAAAAAAAATAAATAAATAATAACACACCAACGTAGCTATAAACATTAACCCTAAAAAGGGAAACATTAAAAATCCCAAATCCTTCCTGAAAAAAAAATCAACCACAAGCGACCGGAAGTGCCGCCTGACCTTTTCTACGAGCCGTTAAAGAATCACGACCCTGATAAAAAAAGGTCAATCTATTTCCCCATCATTTCTTTCCTTGCGCGGCCATCTTCGTCTCTAATGGCTTGGGAAGCGGCCGGTGCGTTTCTACTCCAAATGCTATCATTATTATCACAGCCATTGTTGTTATTTATAGTGAGGCTCCATCTAATTAACATTACCTTTACCATGTGGATATTAATTTTGTTTTAATTATCATCATTATTGTTATGATGTTACTGCCACTATCTAATATAATACTACCAAGTAAATAAACAACAACAACAACAACACATCACCACACAACAAACACCCACCACACCATCACCACACCACCACCACCACCACACAACAACAAGCCGCCACAACGTTCCCTCGGTCCCGAGCGGAAATTCGGATATTCGGCGAGAAGCCCCTAAAATAAGCTCCAATGCCGAAATTTCCGGGAAACTGAAACCAAGAACATCAGTGTTCCATTTAGTCACTCTATGACGAGCCATTATTCATAGGAGGAAGCAGAGGAAAAAAGGAGGAGGAAAAGAAGAAGAAAGAAGAAGACTTAAAGAATAAATATAATAAATAAACGAAGAAGAGGTGGTGGTGTTGATGGTGATGCTGACGATGACGATGACGATGACGATGACGATGACGATGATGATGATGATGATGATGATGATGATGATGATGATGACGATGATGATGATGATGATGATGATGATGATGATGATGATGATGATGATGATGATGATGATGATGATGATGATGATGATGATGGATGATGATGATGATGATGATGAATGATGATGATGATGATGATGATGATGATGATGATGATGGATGATGATGATGATGATGGTGGTGGTGGTGGTGGTGGTGGTGGAGGTGGTGGAGGTGGCGGAGGTGGTGAAGAAGAAGGAGGAGAAGGAGGAGGAGGAGGAGGAGGAGGAGGAGGAGAGGAGGAAGAGGAGGAGGGAGGAGGAGGAGGAGGAGGAGGAGGAGGAGGAGGAGAAGGAGGAGGAAGAGGAAAGGAGGAGGAGGAGGAGAGAAGATGAGGAGAAAGAAAAGGAAGAGAAGAAAAAGTAGGAAGGGCAATATATACAAACAAAACATATTCGGCACGGATGAAGCTCATGTCAACCGTTTATTTGTTTGTGTTACTAACCACGCCAATTACAATTTTCGGAGAGAACAACAAGAAACAAGAAAAGCAAATGAACGAAGGAGCAAGAGGTCGAAGTTCCAACGTGACTCGCGTGGGGGAGGAGAGAGAAAAAAAAAGAAAGAGAAAGAGAGAAAAAAGGACGAAAAGAAAAGAAGGTAAAAATAAACGACAAAAAAGAGACTGTAAAGAAGAAACGAAAAAGAAAAGAAAAAAAGGAAAAACAAAGGGTGAACAAACCAATAAAACAAGAGAAGATCCAAAAGAGAAAGAAGAAAATACAGAAAAAAGACCCCAAAGATTTTTCGAAACGGCCAAAAGAAGGAAGACCCCCAAATGCAGCGGCGACTTCCCTCCCCACAGCAGCCGCGCCCTCCAAAGGATGGAAGAAAGAGAAGGGAGAAAACGTTGCGGTGGAACAAGAAACGAAATGTATATAAATGTTTTATTTTCTTTTTTTAAAGACGAAATGTACTTAATTTTTTTTTCTTTTTTTAAAGACGAAATGTACAGAAATGTATTATTATTGTTGTTTTCCAAAGGAAAGAAATGTAGAGAAATATATCATTATCATTATATATGTAAGGATTAGGGAAAACAGAAATCCGAAATCAAAAGGTTGGAACAGGAAAATATGGAATAAACTTTAGTTGATACAGTGGGAAAAGTAGGATATGAAAAAAATTGGAGAGAAGATAAATACCTAATGATTACTCAAGAATGGGAGAATAGAAAAATGACAAATAAAATTACAAAACGCCATTTTCCTCTTCGCACTGGAAATAGTCATAGTTCAAACGAAAGAAAAACGGACCTAGCAATTTCCATGAGTCTTTTTCGACATCTGCATATGCGCCAGACAACAAACAAACGTAGTTATACAAACTGATAACGTGACAGGTGAGAAAATGAAAATAAAATTGCACTTCGCTCTCATTCACAACACGGAATTATCATGAAGTCGTTATCATGACGACCTCACACAGCATTTACACGAAAGGTCACGCAACGCCGATTAAATACACACACCATGACAGGTACACGGACAAGAGCAAGATACTGACACGGATACTGAGCGAGAGATTACACACAGGACGCTACACTGCGCAAATACATGTGAATGGGAGACGGTGGAGAGGGAATGCATAGACAAGAAAGAAAAAATAGTACAAATACACAAGGTCGCATACACGAGAGAAAGGTACGGCAAATACTTGGACAAAATCAAACACAGAAAGTCACAAAGGGAAGAATAGACACGCGTAGAAAAACGGATACACGAAAAAAAACAGACACAGAAAAAAGGAGACAAAGATACAACTTCCAAACGCACAGAGACAGACACACACAGACAGACGGACGGACACATCAGCAAACATCCC